GTTCAGTATCTGTTTATATACCAGGCTCCTCTTATGCGTCATAGGAGTTGTTGAGAAATACAAAAAAGATTACATTACAGTGTGTTGTAAACCATTTATTAAGTGTAAATACACTGTTTATAAATACTAAATCAGGAGACTCAAAGTGAAGTGTTTTTTTTGTTTTGTTTTTGCGACTTATAATTATTTATATTATTGAGTATTCTGTTCATTTTTTGGATCAATCAATTAGTTATTTTACCAATAAAATGTCAGAAAACATGTTCAACTTACAGTGATAACAAAGACAACCAGCAAGTCCTCACATTCATTGAAGAAGCAGTGAATATATGGCATTTCTGCCTGAATAAAATGGACAATTAATTTTCCGTTGATCACTTTATCGACTAATCATTTCTGATAAGCACAGAGGACATATGCACACACTCCCTCCGCCTGACTAATGTAATTTCATGTCGGGCACTGATTTGTTACAATTACCAGAATGACTTGTATGAGGTGCAACAAGGGTACAAGCAAAATCTGTTGTTTACTGTGTTATAACGAGCCTCTTTCATTTATTACAACATTACAATAATGTTGTTTACAAATGTTTTGTTGTGTTTTTTTTGATGACTGATGACACAAAGCCATGTTTGGCTTGTTAACTGTGGTAATAACAAAAACACCATGCAAGAAAATTGGCCCATCAATGCTGCTTATAACAGAATCTAAATGTTATATGTAATTTGCTGAATATGTTCTTTAATGTATTTATTTAGTATTGATTGGCATTTTGTATCTATGCTGATTTTTCTACTTTCACTATACAGTAGTATATCCCTACTGGTATTTTAATTTCTGCACCAGAGGATATTTAATATACTATCTCGATGCTATTTATGTATTCAGAATTCCCATATGCAGAAGAGTATTTTAAATATTTAAACACATAGGAATGCCAAGCAGCTTTAACTAGGATATGATATTAAATCAAAGGTTTTTTGATTCCCTCTGTAAGTGTGAAAACCTAATGTGAATCATTCTTCCTTCCTACGCTGTACGGTGCCATAGTTTTGAATTTTCATCGTGCTCCTCATTATGTAAGTGGATGCTGGAAGCAGCCTGCTGGGTTGCGTTGTGTGGTTATGGATTAGTTGACTCCAGGTTTACTGTAACAGTGTTTAGAGGGGACATGTGCTCCTCCTCTACCCACAAGCTGTTTCTGGGAACAGGAGCAGCATATGTGGCATAATCCTGGCCTGTGCATCCCTCAGAGACGTTCGTCTGTAGAAACAGGCGTAGATGATTTATAGCATTCATGACTGTGACAGATTTTTCTTTGACTCTCGTATCTCTTGCTCTCCGTCCCCTGATGCTATCAGCATTCGTCGGTGCACAACTCTTTTATTCTTCTTTATCCTGCACTCTCAGTCTCTTTCTGTTTCACCTGCCCCAGAGCAGTGTGCGCCTCTTCTCTCTCCTCCTGAGTTTCAATGTAATATTCATGATGGCGCTGAACCGAGCCGAATGCGTGCCAGAGATACCCAGAAGGATCTGCAAAAGCTTTTGTTACCTTTGTAGTAAATGCTTCATGAGGGAGAGAGAAAATAAATGTGTATTGACTCACAAAATATCAAATGGCATTTGGTCTGCCATGGCACTCTTTCTGTTCAGTGGAAGCTGTTACATAAAACCCCGTGATCTGCTTAGCATGTATGCTGTTGGGAGAAGCACGGTTGGTAGAATCTCATTCGTCCGAGTTGAAATAGTTATTTGTTATCAACTCACCACTATTCAGGATTGCCCATTCTCCAAATGGCCACTGGAGTACAGCTTCACCCTTAGGTCACCCGATGACATGACAGCTGACTGATGAGTTCAGCTTTTCAGAACCACCTCAGGCTGGACAGCTCCCCCTCACAGAGCTACATCACAGTCAGTTCTATTATAATGTTATCTTTGTTAAAAACGTCTTATTGTTTTACTTGATTTCATATTCATATTAGTGTATTTGTATAGATTTTATTTTGCGGGTCTAGTTATTTTGTTTGAACCTGGCATTTCGGCACAGTTGCAGATAAAGATTAGGCTACACTAATCACCCTTATATTCATTCTGCGCACCGCTGCTGCTGAGCGCCGCTGTTACAGTTTGACATGATCATTGATATCCTCTGCCCTGGTGTTTCCCCAAGATCAGGGCTTAGCCACTCCACACACACGAAACAGAGAGACAGGTGAAGTGAAGATGAAGTTATCGGGACTGTTACAAACAGGCTCGGTAGTGAATAATATTATACTATTTGTAGATTTAGATTCCAGCAGTGGCTGCGTAGGATTGTTATTGACTCATGTGATCCAAACATTTCCAATGACAATACAACAACCAAGCAGTTTAAAGTGCAAAAGTCAAAATTTGAAAAAAGATAGATTTAATAATTTCCTAAATTCATATATTTTTATCCTATAAAATATGTTTGCATATTTGTTGGCATTTAGCCTTTAAATAAAAACATTTTCACTGCGGTAAAAAACAAACAAACATGGATCTTCCGCGTGCTGCACACAACGGGAGGAACGCACAATATATCAATATTATATTCATAAATGAATATATTCATATTCACAACGAGTAATGCAGGTTTAGACAGAAAACTTTTAATATGAAATTAAACAATAAAGTTCTAAAACCAAAACTACATCAGTGCAAACTCGACCAACAGATTTGTTTCTGCTTGCCGCTATGGTGGACTTTAAAAACGTTGGTTTGTAGGTTACAGAGAGTCATAATTCAAGGACAAACCAAGGCAGCTTTGTTTCCTTTCTTCTGCACTGACTGCATCTGTAGATACAGTCAACTACTCTTTATGTCAGTGGAGACTAGTTAGCGAGATATGGACAGGCACACAGATTTGGTTTCATTTGATGCAGGTAGAAGTGGACCTGTTCGCTCTCACTTGTCACAATGTACGTCAAAGCCTCAGTGATACTCACGCAGGAGCTGAATCATGTACTGGACTCTGGAGGACGTTTCACAGGCTGTGGCGCTATACTGTATAAAGCCAGTTGCTGGGCTGAGTGACATAGGTTCAGGCGAAGTCCTATCAGAACCTGTCAACGCCAAGTGAAGTCTTTCTCGAGTGAAAAGGGTCTGTCGCTTGACTCAATGGAGACAGCAACAACTCTAGTCCGTCATAAAACCAGGGCTGTAGTCCAACCTTAATGTTCCTGTGACAGTAGATGACAATGATGTATGTTTCTTAATCACATGCCGTTTGCTCTCATAGCGATGTAAAATAACATGTTCTGTTCCAAATGGCATAGAAATTAGGAGTGTATTAGGATCTTCATACGATCCTAAGATTAGATTTAAAATTGCTCACAGTATTACAATATATGGAAATATATTGTGTTTCGTATTGTAGAATTTTCTTTCTTCTTCCAACAATCATTCCAATGCAAAACATTGATTCAATGATTCATTTGTACTGATTCATCCTACGTATTGTATCGCCAGATTTCTGCCAACACACAGCCCTAATAGAAATGCTTGAAGTAGAATATTTCACTGCAGTACTCTTCCATCTGTCCATCTGAGCCTGAATAAGTCGTTGCTTTCTGAACCTCTGTGTCCATGTGAATGTGTTATGACAGTTAGAGCCATGGGGGGAAGGTAGAGGAGGAGTCGAGAGGATACTCTGCTCTGTTAGGTAAGCAGTTTGTCTGCCGCATGTATTGCTCTGTAATTTCCCTCTTACTTACTTTCTCTCACTGAAATGTCTCTCAACACCTCCTGATGTCTTTCGGCACTATTAAAGACTGCAGCGTTACTGCAACAGACTGCAGTGTGTGAGCGCTTCCATGCGTATGCGTGGGCTGCTTGTGTATGCATAAAAAATGACAGTATATGCATGGTTCTCAGTTTTGGTTGTAAGACTGTGCAGAAGCCAGATAGAAGATACAAATGAGGTCAATAATAAGCAAGTTAAGTACACACACATTTCTGTTTCAAAAAGTATGCCAGTATGAGCAATATGCAGGTCCTTACATGATTACATGATTAGTAGACTAGAATAAAGTACAAAAGCCAAAATCCGCATTCAGGGAGGAAACATTGCAAGCAAGTGTTTGGGGGGATAAAGACGTGGGGAGTGTTGCTCTATTAATAATGTGCAATGCACTGGGGATAATTGTGCAGTCAGCTTATTTTTCCAGGTCATCTGCTGTTCTGCTGCAACATCACCTCAAAGGAGAACCTAATCCAAATTGAAGATGAGAGAGATTTTACCCTTTGGGCAAAAACTGAGAATGAGGAGAGCTTAATCTAAAGAGTAAAAGAAAAGGCTGCAAGAGCTTTCGGGGGCTTTCATTTTTTTCTTGCGCTATTCTGCCGCAGCATCACCTCAGAGAATAATCTCTTTCAAACAGAAGATGAGAGAGAACCAAATTACAGATGAGAGAGATTGTGCCCTTTGGCCAAATACTGAGAATGAGAAGCAGCGAGTTAAATCTAATATTGCCACTATTTATAAAACAAGAGGTGGAGAGACATCCATGAGATTTTGTAATAAAACAAGTAAACTATGTGAATGTGAGTAAATCCCAGGCAGTTTTTCAGGACATTTCATATCAGAACAGCTACACGTTCTAATAATCCAGCTTTGACTGTTGCTGCAGTTGTTTACTGCTGTTTTTACGGCTCTTCCACTTGCACTCATTGTGTCTAGACACCTAAGGGAGGGAATGAATGAAAATCAATGTGATAAATGCAATAGAAACACAGCAAAATCGCCAGAGAGGAGAATATTTGGCGATAGACTTCTTTATTTCTCATTTCCCCTCAAAATCTCATTATCCTTGATTATCCATTTATTAAACTGCACTTTCCTCCCCAAACTCATTTTTGTGCCGCTCGTACCTTTTGTTCCTCCTCCCTCTCTTTCATCCACTTTTCCTCCTAATGTTGCCCACTCTCTTGTCCTTCTTTAACCCTTTCTTCCCCTCTCTGTCTCTCACCAGGTGTCTGTCTGGTGCTGGGTTGCATGATCTACCCCGATGGTTGGGACAGTGACGAGGTTCGGAGGATGTGCGGAGAGCAGACAGACAAGTACAGCCTGGGGGCCTGCTCAGTGCGTTGGGCCTACATCTTGGCTATTATGGGCATCCTGGACGCTCTCATCCTCTCCTTCCTGGCCTTTGTCCTGGGGAACCGGCAAGACGGACTCATGACAGAAGAGCTGCTGGCTGAGAGCAAGGGTGAGAATATCGAATCTGATAAAATGTGATATTTTATTGATCTAGCACTCCAGGAGTATGTTGGGATGTAATACATAATTTGTTTTGGGTGTAGGACAGCTTCTTTAATCATTAGGTTACCTTTCTCATAAAATCTATATTTATATTCTTGGAGTTAATTAAGTGAAATCATAAATATTTCCCCACAATTATCACACACACAGTAAATTTATCGAGAACTGGAAACAGATAACCCTGAATTTTCAATTGATTTACTTGTACTGGGTCACTGGTGTGCATATGTAATGTCTGCATTACTATCACATGTATGAAGTACTGTTAAGAAGTCTGGGTCTCGGTATGTCTGCCAGTGGGAAATGGGATTAGTTTGTCTGTGCACTGTAGTTTGTAAAGGAACCAGACAGACATGGCCAACCAACAACCCATTAAGGAAAATATATACATTTATTAATATAAAATATATTTTAAAGTGGCAGAAGACACTTCGAATACCACTTTGTTATTATGATAGAAGTAACCATATAACATCATCATGGTGTTATGTTTAATCATCTGTGCATGTAGCTGGCAATATCAGTCATACAAGCAGCAGATGAGATATCTGCAATTGTTATTTTCTTATCTCAAACTACCTTCAAATGACAAATATGAGATAAGACAAGACGAAAGATCTCAAGACAATCTCACAGTAAAAGAAAACTTGAATGGGATTATCTGTTTACCTTTCAATATACAGTCTCACTTTGTACTGAGGTACCATTCCTACCATTTATGAATAATTCAACACAGCTCAATAGTCTTTTATCTATCAGCTCATCCCTGGTGCCATCTACTGGTGTTTGTGTGCAATATAACCAGTCATTGTGAGGGATGCATGAGTTTGGCATGTGTGAACATGGGAGTCTAATAATAGCATGACCTTGAGAACCTGTTGTGGCAGTTTTATATTTTACTGAGTGTTTTTGTTTTTGCAGAGGGAGGCAACGCCTAACCAAATCTGTAGGTAAGTAGACAAAGCATAATCAACATCTTGAACATCTATGTACATGTTAATCATTGTATGGCATTATGTAAGCCATCATGCACATTGTGATTGCTTCTTCATATTTAATAGACATGTACAACCGTGGAATGTTAATACATTTTACAATCTACGCTATTGCTGATATATTACTTTGTAGGAGGCATTTTAATGTCTGGTTGATGTTGAGCTAATTTTATTAACTTTAAACTGTTGGTTTGCTTAATCTAAAAAAAAATCTAAATAAACAATGTCATATTACAGTGTATGAGCTTATCATGAATTTAGTATGTAGAAAATAGCCTTTGTGACGTTATATTACATTATTTATTACATTATTAGATTGTTTATAGTAGAAGTTTGAAGTAGCATGACGTAAAGTACAAGGACCTCAAAATTGTACTGAATTGCTTTGTACTTGCTTAAAGTTACTTTCCACCACTGCCTTCAGGACATACAAACACACCATATCTCTCCCTCTCCCTCTCCCTCTCCCTCTCTCCATGAAGTACCAATCAACCCTCAACATCAGCTTGGAGGAGGGAGGCCATCCAGGTCTGTGAAGGAGAGGAATACTATGGAAACAGCCAGCCTGCCTTCCACATTGTCCTGCCACAACCCCCAGTGTAGCCTACCATCAAAGCCCATCCATTTTGCTTGCAGTCCCTAAATCCTCCCTAGCATTAAGATGGAGACCGATGTACTTTCATCCCAATGTGTCTACAGACCTCACCCTTCAACAACATTGAATAGACCATGGCAGGGGCAGAGACTGTTATTCCGTTGAGAAATGTATGGACTACCCACTATACCTACCCGAGAAGGCACAGGGTTGACATTGTACACCTGCAGTATATGAGCACAGACACAAACACACACACACGCACGCGCCAACTCACTCATATGCACAAACACGACTCAACACACAGACAGTACATTCAAACAAAACATTTACAAGCTCTGTAATTACAAGTATTAAACTATGTTAACACTTAGCTGTGTGTACCACCGTCAGAATGTGTGTCATGTTTTATTTGTGAAAAGAAGAAACTGCTCACTTTTAGATAATATCGGGTTGACGTAAATCTGTTGTGTTTCATTTGTAAAAGTTTGACAATGAAATGAAAAATTTTAGTTTCTTTCTTTGCTCACACACCCCTTTGTTCCTCTTCATTTACTAGAAGAAAAAAAGATATTTAAGATATTTTATAAGAATATTATCATCCAAAAGAGAAAAATACTTGTATTAAAAAGTATGTACAGTGAATATTAAAGATGTTTTAACTAAATTCATTCAATACCCTGCTAGCTAACTTTGCACAGCGCTTCAGTTTGAGAAGAAATCTGATATTTTATAGTTTGTGGTATCTACACTGTGATGGAGGCTGTTAGGACTGTGTGCTGCAGGACTCATAGCTGCTGTGTGTGTGTGTGCGTGTGTGTGTGTGAGAGTAGGGAGGTCTGTGGTGTCTGAGTGAGTGTGAGTGCATGCACATCTGTGTGTTGGTGTGAATGTGTTGTGTGCAACAGTTGGCCTAAAGAACCAATATGCCAGCCTGACACACAACGGTCCTGCTGTTTAGCTAAATGTGTCCATCTCTGTCTTTGTCTCCAGCTCTCTCTTTCTGTTTCCCTCTCTTTGACTCCCTTTCCTCGCTTTGTTTTGTTGGGACATACAGGGTAACATGATGGAGATGGAGTATTATGTATAGTGACTGGTGTGCCTGAGGAGTGAACTATAGTGGTAATAGATTAGTAAAGCCTGTCCCAGCGTCACCTGTGGATATGTTCCTGTGTAAATAGATATTCTATATAGATACCAAACCATTATCAAATATTGAGGAGGTTAACTTAGACCAATTAACGAGATTCCTTTAAGAATATATCAACACTTAATAAAGGTTTTCACTGTAAAACGTTGTTGTGTTTTTTTGTTCGTTTTGACAAAAGTACATTTTTGTTAAAGTTTCACTCTACTGATTGTTCACATGAAGATTAGATAACTGGTTATGGTTAGCAGCACTCTATGTAATGTATTACAGAATTGCTGGTGAACCCCTTTAAAGTGGCAAAATATTGCCATTGAGTGGGAAATTTATACAATTATGACTTTGATCTGTTGTAATATTGTAGAGAAGGTAGCTGCAAAGGGATATAATTGATAACTCCTTATGTTTTAGAAGGTTTATAGCAGGAACTATAATAAGTTACAAATGGCCACAACACACAAAATACCTGCATATTTACCATAATTATGAATATTGATGTCAAAAGGACCACACATGCCCACTGAAGAGTTTAGTTTTATTTAAAGAAAGCATACTGTGGACTTTGGTAATTCTCCAATATTATTCCCAAAAGTTATGCAACCATATCACACAGACTTTATCAATGGGGGGAGTTTGCTGATTTGGATGGATCTGTTGCAAGCCCGTTCATCTGCTGATGAAGACTGTATTACACATTTGAAAGTTCCAGAAAAGGCTACTCTGTGGACCTTGAGTTGGTTTTGTCAAACTGCTGTTTTCAAGGTCAGGAATAGATAAACTTTCATGCTCCACAATAGTAACGTTTTGGTGAATAAATGTATTTGTTGGTTAAAGCATTGTTAGTATGATTGTGTAAAATAAATGTAGCCAAATTTAGTTGCATTACAACACCAACATATACTCAAAACGTTTGAGGGGGAAAAAGAAGAAGGAAGTAAAAGAGAGCCACAAACTATTACTTAATGTGCTCCTCATTTGTGCAAGACAGGCCCCTTAATGTTCAACACAGTCTGAAAACTTTGAAAAAGTTACATTTAAAATGGTGTCTTTGAGAGGAACAGAAGAGTCTGCTGGGTTTAAAAGTAATCAAGAGTTTATCAATTAATTTCAATGTTACATGTTTTTTTTTTTTAAATGTAATGCTTATTTTAATGCTAGCCTTCAATTTACTTTATCGCGTTCATAAGTCGGAGCACACAATTTAGATACAGCCATCAGGTGATAGGCCAAAACTCTCACCTTGTATTTCCAGGCAACACTAAGGAAACACAGTCTCCTTGAGAGATAAAATTTATTTCAGATTATGAAGGATTAACCTCTCACTCACAAGACACAATAGCCTTTTTTATCCGAGTCACATGTCTAGACCACCATAAAGACAAGAATGTTGTGTGTGGAGGGGGGGGGGGGGGGGGGGGCATGAGAGAAATAAGAAAATACCACATTTGGCCGTTATTGATTGCAGCTGATGCTTTTAACAGCAACAACCCACTTCTTGCAGCTCACAAAGCTTTTTTCACCATGAATAGAAAATAATTGTTAGAAGCTCTGATTCAAAGCACTAAATAGGCTGCTGTCTAGACGGCTTAATGGCTGATTGGTTGTGTCTGGTTCATGGTCCTCATGGGAGTTGTTTGTGGTATCGTGAGATGAGGAATAACTTACATTTAATTTAATTGCATTTCTTGGCAAAACAATGAGTGAGTGCATAAAATGTTTGCAGCTTTTTGACTTAAGATTCCATTGGCTAAATGTTTGTTATCAGCCCTTTTATGGAAAAAGAGTTATGCAATTCTGTTCTATACCACAATTACTAAATGTAAAATAGGGTTTCTCAGGTCAAACCCAAAGCTCTGGTACAGAAAAAAGAGGAGGAAAATTCCAGAGCTCTTGAATTTTTGTGAAAAACAACTTTATTGTGAAGACACCAATGGAGTTCATCACAGTGTCCTCACGCAACGCTGAAAGTAAAAGTCAACCAATCACATAATGAAACCTTTGACGGATGAAAGTGAGTGACTGGAGTGTACCATTGATGTGATATAAAATACATTTACTACTCTGTATGGGCAATTTACTTCCACTTTGTACTACTTTTTAAAAGGTACACATTGTACTTTTTATTCATGCATGCAATACAATTGACAATGAAGTAAGTCTGTAATTATTGATAAATTGATTTGTGGATTGACTATAAGTGTGTATGAGTGTTTTTAAATTGTGGTTTTGCTGCTTTTACTTTATTATGGGTTAATATTATCAACAGAGTAACCAAGTAGGCTACGTATCTAAGTATTGTACTTTTGATATATTTGTACTTTATTTGTGCATTTCCATTTAATTAATGCTCCGACCTTACATACAACCTATGGCTCCTACATTATGCTACTGGCTTGGCGTGACTGTACCTTTAAAACACGCACTACCGGGGGCGGGGGGCGGAGCTTGATTCAAACATGTAGCCCCGCCCCTTGCTGCTTGACATCGCGGAAACAGTAAATAAACGTCAGCCAAAAACAAAATGGGAGCCACGTTGGACACCCCGGCGAGGTGTCCCCTCTGCGACGAGCTGACCGGGGACCCCGTCACTCTCAAATGTAACCACCGGTTCTGCCAACGGTGTATCGGGGACCTGTGGAGTATTTCCCCGACAGGCCCGTACCACTGTCCGGAGTGGAGGTGTACAACAGTGTACCAGACTCTTCCGTTTGACAGCAGACTGTCTCCCGCCAGCAGTCGATGGGCTCCGCCTCGCAGCGCTGCAGGTAACGTGAAAGTTACAGCAACGTTAATGCTTATTTTTTGTGCAGCGGTGTTTAAGTTGGTAGCTAATGTTGACGTTTACTAATGTTCTCCCACTGCTAGCATTAGCTAGCTACTTTAATATTTGTAATTCTGGCACCCTCAAAATATAATAGTCTTGACTTCCCCTCCGGAAGATGCCATTCGATCCACATCCTTGACGGTTTACGCAAAAGAGCAAGTTAAAATCTTTAAAATGTATACGCTCTTGTGTAATTTAGTTAATAGTTCATAGTTATTTAGCTAGCAAATAGTCAACAAGGGTAAAGTTTTAAGTTGAATACCAATTGTAAGGAAACACCAATCCAATATGCAGGATCCGTATTAAGTGCATTAGACGCATATCATCACACACATGTCAGTCAGTTATGGCAGGCTGCAGACTCAGTGACAGCTTTCCTGAGTGAGCTTACAAGGCAACATAATAACTCACAGAAGTGCAAACAAGCTAGATCATCACTGCTTGAGTTGACTAAAGTGGAACTGTTCAGTTGTGCAGAAGGCAACTTGCAGGTGTTTTTGTGAAGTATTTCTCTGAAGGTGCTAAATCAACACTCCCTCTAACCAGTTTTGCTTTGTTTGTATTCTATTTTACAGGCACATCGGGTGATGATGAACAAAATACTTCTAATCCCACATTGGGGAGGCCCTCACTCACCGGCCGACTTCTCGGCAAGAGAAAAGCCAGCACACCTGTATCAGAGCAACCTGACACAAAACGATCAACTGGGGAGTCTCCCCGCGAGCGCTCCAGTGATACCGAGACTCCCACCACTTCCTTCTCGTTCAAACCCTTGCAGCCTACGCGTGTGGAGACATCCAAGAAAGCAGGGCACCCAGAATCCACAAAGTCTGAGCGCGGCGATGGCACGTCCTCCAGTGACACCTCTGACAGCAAGGCAGTGCCTGCAAGTGATGTGCCTCCAGACATCTCAATCCAGCAGAACCAGCCTAAACCGGTAGATATGATCTCATTGGATGACTCAGACACCTCCAATGAAGTAGATCTATGTGATGCGCCTGCTCTTGCAACTCCAAAGAAGGACACACAAGTGACAGGAGTTCTTGCATCGCCAATGAAACCTGCCACATCTGCCAACTCTGATTCTTTCCCTGGATTTTCAACTCCAGGTAAAGGTACGTCTCCTGTACACCATGGCAGCAACTCTCCCCTGATATCCAGCAAACATCCTGCCGATGCCCCAAGATTTCCAAGTCGCGTTGGCATCTTCCCCCGGTCAGAGGACAAAAATGTCAGCCCTGTGCCCTGCCATTATTGCCCTAAAACTAGGTGTCAGTCCGCTGTCAAGACCTGTCTGGTGTGCGGCGCTTCCATGTGTACGGAACACCTGCGTCCTCACCTGGACTCCCCCGTCTTCCAGAATCATACCTTGGTTCCTCCCATGGAGGATTTTTCTCCCTGGAGGTGTCAGGAGCACCAGGAGATAAACCGCATCTACTGTCGGCAGTGCGGAGTGTGTGTGTGCACGGTGTGCACCGTCATTGGCTCGCACCGCGACCACACCTGCATCAGCATCAGGGAGGCAGAGAGAGAGCTCAGGGTAAGTGGGGACCTTTACAGCACCACGTATACTGTAAAATACACGGTGATCGTGGTCAAAGTTAAGATGGATGCAAATATTGCCATAACAAATAATAAGTCATTCCCTCCCCTCTTCCCACTCAGGTGAACCTAAAAGAAGAAATCAAGCAACTGCAGGAGGCTGAAGAGGAAGTGAAGAACAGGGCGACTGAACTCACTCAGAAGAAAGAGACCTTCGGTGTAAGAGATTTCACTCTATAGTTCTATACAGTATCTGACTCAACATGATGTATATGTTTCTTACAGATGCTGAGACTTATCCACATGTTTTTGAATAGGTTGAATTTTCAATATATATAATGTAGTTAATTATAGTTTTGTGGGTCAACGGATATGATGTTAATTATACATTCTAGATTTATTGAATTCAGATTCATGAAATACATTAGCGGTGTTTAAATTTTTTATACTATTTAAAGTTGGTTTGATGCTCGTATTGCTTGAGAAAACATCTTCAATCTTAAATTCAGATTTTCACATTTCTTTTCCGCTGGTCGAGTCAGGGTTCTCTGACTGCAATGAGAAAGAGCCGTACTGGAATTGAGAGTATTGCGTTGCATGACGTTGATTCACATTGTGTGTGTGTGTGTGTGTGTGTCTGTGTCCATCCAGGTGGTTTTAAGTGAGGCTCGAGCAGGAGTGCAGCAGCAGTACAGAGCCATCAGAGAGGCCCTGGAGCAGGAGGAGCAATCGGCTCTCCAGTGTGTGACGAAGGAGGAAGGCAGAGTTCTGGGGGGACTAGAGGAGGAACTCGGCCACCTCCGGAGCTCCCTGCAATCCATGCAACAGGGACTCCACACCCTGGAGGGGTTGGCTGATGCCAAAGGAGACAAACGCATTCAGGACCAGCTCTTCATTATGGTGCGTTGGATGTTAGAGAACTTTAAGTAAAACATAAGATCTACTTACTTTTGGCTTTAATGACTTATGAACACTAACACAAGGAATCTTCTTTTTCTTCTCTCTGACATGACAGGAATACAGCAAGGTAGCCCAACTGTAAGTGATTTCCTTCTCAACTTTACCTGGTTGCATGTAAAGAGTTTATTTGTTGAACATGTCGATAGCCAAGTGTTCTACCAACAAAGCATAGCTTCAGTAAACAGCCAGTGTGCAAAAAAATGTCATTAATGTCCTAAAGAGTCGGTTCAACCTTATTCTCTCACTTCCCTTTAGCTATGCAGAACTAAGTGTCACGGTTTTGAGATCGCTCTCTGCTTCCAACCTCAATATTTGTTTGGATTTGAATTGAATTTGGTTTTTGGTGCTGACCAACAATTGCATTTAAAAAAAATCAACAGCAATTTACCTACAAAGAGTCAGTGCACCTGTAGAGCTGGATATCCACAGACAGGGTTCCCACGCCTCCTGGAAAACCTGGAATACATTTGACAAATTTTCAAGTCATTGAAAACACATGAAGAATCTGAGAAAAAAGCTAAATGTCCTGGGAAGTCTTGTGATGTTCTGGAAAAATATTTCACATGCATTCTCTGATTTTCATTCAGCTGAGAATGAACTACTAGTCTATCTACCAGAGCTCCCTAAAACGGATAACTTTGCCATCTGAAAGGGCAAAGTTATGTTCACAATCAAACAAAACCAACTGCATGGCTGGATACCAGTGGTGTATAGTAACGAAGTAGAAATACTTCGTTACTGTACTTAAGTCGTTTTTTTGGATATCTGTACTTTACTTGACTATTTATATTTCTGTTGACTTTTACTTTTACTTCACTACATTTTGCAAAGAAAACTGATACTTTGACTCCGATGCATTTCCCCTGAAACCTTCGTTACTCGCTACAAAATCAAATCTATCTTTAGAAACAAAATGAATCATGAGACCAGCGTCGGGGGACTGTGGTGGAACAGAGACTGCAAGCAAGCAGGTTTGGTGAATCAGTGGTCCTAGCTTACAAGTTAAATCATTGGTTAATCACGTTAATGCGCAAAACAAGTGCTCTCAAAGCCGCGGCGTTTTGATTCCCAGGATGCTATATGCTATAGCTAGCAAGCGACAACACGAGTAGAATTCCACACAGGACGGGTGGGATGAGGAGAGGTGGATGGGTCAAACAAACACTGGTGTTTCCTCCAGGAGGCCGCAGTTTGTGCCGTGTGTGAAACGAGAAGCCAATGTTGATTTATTTGTGACGTAACTTCCGTACTTAAGCAACGCCACTTCCGTAGATATTTTAACGCAAACCACGATCTTTTCCTAAACCTAACTAAGTAGTTTCATCGCCTAAACCTTAGTTGTTTCCTGTGAAGATGGAAGTTTATTTTGAAAAGACAGTATGCATGTAACAAGCGAAAACAGACTCATGTTGCTGGACTTTTGCAGGAAAAGTGAGGAGTAACTTTTCGTAAGATATCAATAAAACGGGGATGAATTTATATCATTGTATAAAGAGAGTGACATGAGAAGATCAATCTCATGTCTGTAAGTTAAATCAGCTATAATCACTATTTTAAAGTGATTAGTGACTCATCTAAAACATTTAAAAAAGGAATAACTTCAATAGAATCATTCTATACACTGTAGCTTCTTTACATTCTATTAGAATGTAAAGAAGCTACATTGTATATTGTAGTCTATACACTGTAGCTTCTTTACATTCTATTAGAATGTACAGAAGCAACAGTGTTCTGTTTTTATTTGTTATTGGGGTGAACCAACCCTTTAATGCTTTCAACTCTGTATGAAACTACTCAAATACAAATATGAGAATAAGTCAACACAATTTTTATTAACAAGCTGTATTTTCTGCTACATTTATATTATAAACAAATCAAAATAAACAAATGGATTGTTGACCGGCATATTATGAATAACAACTGCAGTCTTTTGGGGTAGATGTATGATGTGTTTATTTGGGTCTTCTTTCACAGACGCTTTAGTCAATCTCGCTAGGTTTGCTAAAAGGCTAAAGGTAACTTTGTTTGTAACTCTTCATATGCCTTCTTTGAAGGTGATTAAGGAAAAATTAAGTGTAATAGTCTTAGATCTTTATGCTTTTCCTCACCAGGACTAGTAACATTGGGAGCTGTGTGGACCAGTTCAAGGCTCCAGAGGAAGTGGATCGCGCCCGGCTCAGATGTCTGCAGAGTTGGACTGAGAAACGTCTGGACTCAGTCGTCATCACTGTGCCAGGCAAATCCAGAGACCTCTACAGACTGCGCTGTAAGACATGTTTGTTTGGGGGGGGTTTTGTACCAACACCTGTTTACTTGCCACTCACTGATGAATCGCAGCTAATTAAACCAATGGACAAAATGCATCCAGTAGGCCCAATTGTGGTATATTCAATTAGTCTTAATTATTCTTTCATTTCCCTTTTCTGTGTACAGATGGTACCGCCCTCTTCTTGGATGCAGATACTGCCCATCCCAAGCTGCAGCTGTCCGATAACGACAGGAGGGTGACCTACAGCGAAGCCCAGCAGGCCTACACCGATCACGATGCTCGATTCAGCTCCTTTCCACAGGTCCTGGCCTCCCGTTCACTGGAGAAGGGGTGCTGGTACTGGGAGGTGAACGTGCCAGGGGATGAGGGCCGCTGGAAGGTGGGGCTGTGTGAGAGTCAGATAGAGAGGAAAGGCCAAAAGGACAACTCTCGTCTGGGCTTCAACTCGCATTCCTGGTGCCTGGCCTGTGACCGAAAGAAGGTGGAAGCTCTGCATAACAAGGTGGCGGTTCCTGTGGATGGCGACGGGCTGCAGAGGGTGGGAGTGTTGCTCGAATTTGAGGAGGGCATTTTATCATTCTTTAATGTGACACCAGGGGGCAGTCTAGCTTTAATGCATTCCTACAAGCACAGGTTTACTGACCCTCTGTACCCAGCGTTCTCTGTGTCGAAAACACACCTGGCCATCTGTGATCTGTTTGAGTCATAAACCACGCATTACTCACATCACTTGTGATGGAAATGTACAGGATACATGAAAGTGCTGTGCCTTTTTATGTGAAAAGCAGTTAATCATTTAAAAAATATATAATCAGTAAATTGTTAGGAGATGATAGTTATGCACTGCATATAATGCTCTACTTTTACAAAAAATCCTCAAATGTGATTTTATATTATAGTACTGGACCATACAAGGTCCATTCATTGTACACAATACATGCAGCGTTCCAAAAAGTAGCAGCATAGTTTTTGTTACTGGATTTTAGATTTCATTTAAGATTGTCGATAAACAAATGTGTAAGTTTTTACATGAGTTCATGTAATCAGTGCGGACCAATACAAAGTTGTCTTAGATAATGTTTCCATTTTCAGAATGTTTTTAAAATTCTCCAAATGTTCTTTGTCTTGTCTGTTGTCTTTTTACAGTAATAAAAGTCAGAGTTTTGAAAGCAAAGTAAAACTTGCGTTACGCCTTGCCTATTTGCGTTTAAATGGAAACACCTGTGTGTCAGGTGACAGTTGTTGTGCTAACTTTGAACTCTCACTGCCCCTGCAGCCTGTGAGCTTTACTGACAAACACTGCCTTTGCCAAAAACTACTTACAGCCCCACAGTTTGCAAACTAAGGCTCATTTATTCTGACTGGGGGTCTGTGTGGTTGACGTCATTGAGGGGGATCAAAGTGGTGTTTACATAAACCCCTTCTGGGTGATTGGTAGAGCACCAGCATGCCAGTGGTTCAGGGACAGCTGGCCAATGATCAAGGTGGATCCAAACTTGTTGACTAATTCAGTAGCTTAAAGTCCTCGGGATCGATGGTGGCAAATGTAATCTAACTGAAAAGGACTGAATAAAGGAAAGCTCAGTGGTAGAGCTTTGTAAAGAGAAAGGTACGCAACGCACAATTTAATTAAAAGCTACTTTCACCAAAATGTGCATCCTCTTCTGAGAGACGATATTTGAATCCATGCAGGTGCACCAGCTTAACCATGGCAACAATTTCACACCATCAGCTACACGATCCAAAGGTAGTCGGACATTTTTTTTTGCTTTCTTTTTCTTTTCCCCAGCTGGCACATGAAGGCAGCTTATGAGACATGTCTGAGAGGGTAGAGGGGGAGGGGGAGAGGGAGAGGGGGGGGCTTCAACGTCAGGATAATTAAATTCTCCTCTCCCTGTCCATCCAGTGGTCTCTCACACTCAGCCTGTGTCTTACAAGCTTCTCCAGACTACAATTACATTTAATGAGCTATGGGCTTATTGGATGTTGGCAGGGAACAACGTGTCAGATAGTTATTTTGAATATGTGATGGAAGTAGTGAAGGCTCTGGTTCGCTACATTGGCTAAAAATGGAGCATCACTAAATCAAGCGACAGGGTCTTCTCTTTATTAGGGATCAAGTTAACAGCCCAAACGTCTACTTGTCAAAGCGTCCTCAGATAAGAGAATAGTTCTACCTACTTCCAGCTGATGTGGTGAAATGCACTTAGGTATTTGTCTCGGAGGGACATGCAAAGAATCAAATCCCAAATGACAACGTGGCGGTGTACAGTGATAAATTACTCCCAGGATGTGGGCTTGTCTTGCAGCTGAAAAGCCTTTGAATTACAACAACAGTAAGCCTCTTATAATCCGTTGATTTACGGTAATATATTGTTCCTTTCCACTGGCGCTCTCGAAGGCATATAAACAGACATCCGAGTACAAAGGAGTATAAAAGTCAGGTTATAGAGGGTGCTATTTGCTTTTGAAATCAATACTTCATTAAAAGGAATACAGACTTATCCAACTGTTGAGACTAACCTTACATGAATCGCATTTGTTCATGCAGGAAATTTCTTCCTCCTGTCAATTCATACGGAACAGTACAGTAAATTGGGTCAATGTGGGTGTCATTGGCAGCACTCTACTTAAGAGTGCATGCTTTTACCTCTCCTTGTCTGGATGGAAAGTGGAATGGCATGAAATTACCAAGGTCTGACATTTTAAAACAGCAAGCCTTCCACTTAAACTGCTTTCTTAATGCCACAAAATGTCACTCTTCTTAAGTGCTAGCTTTCTGGTTGGTCAATGACCTCGTGTGAGGTTGCTCAGACATTGCCGCCTTTTGATTTAGGCCACTGAACATCAAAGCTTCTCTTTCTTCTTCTTTTCTTGTGGAAGTAATAGTGTCTGTGCAGCATAGATTGCTGTTGCTCCTGTGCTGGGAACGGTAGACAATTCAATTTGCATTCTTCCATTGGAAAACCCTGGAACAACCATTACCTTCTTGTTCAAGGTCAGTTGGAGCCACTGATTTGAGTCACTCAGCATGTAAAATGTTACATTTATATTCAATCAGCAAGACAATCAGTTGTCTCTATAGCCTCAATGTGTCCCTGTCACATATTATTGCCTTTGCATTTGCGTCACAGTGTCCGATATTCTGGAAAATATTCACCCTGCAATCTTTCGTGCAACACTTGTAGCTGTTCTGAAGGCACTGGTTTTTCCAGAGTGCAACATATTCTGTCTTTTGCATGAAACCAATTTGACCTGTTCACCAAATTGCGACTGCATTTCCCAATCCAGGTAGCTGCAAATTGTCTTTGCTCTTTTTTATCCTGCTGTGGGCATGATTTATTTCTTTATTTTTGAATAAAGTTAGAGAGAAAATACAAGGATTTTGTAAATGCCGTCAGTTTTATTAAATGACATTCTGGGTTTTTCAAAGATTGCAGAGTGCATATATTTTTGAGAATTGTCTTTGTATAGTTCGAGATGACAGCTAACGTTGCTAATGGCGCTAACAGTGCAAACAACAGCAACAGAGCTAACAGTGTTTACCTGTGGGGACCAGAAGTTTGGATGCTACTGCAACAACGCCATCAATCGAGATGGCGTTATCAGCTGTAACCTTTGTATGAGCGCAGCACAGAATGGCGGTTGTGAGCTAGCCAGTGGGGCACACTCACGTGCACGAACATGCAATACAAGGCCGGCCGGCTCTGTCAACTTAGCACAGAAACGTTCGGATAGAGCGTATTTTTGTAATTTTGTAATAGTTTTGCAAGTTAGCATTGCGCTGGTTTCTTCTACAAAAAGCCAATGTGATTTTTTCCATTGACTGGTTTCTTGTCTACAAACATTACTGGGGGTGCACGCATTGAGGGGGCATAACCGCTTTGGCAGCTATCTGTGGGCTTTCCCGGTAAATTTAGCCAAGTCCTAGTTGACAGTGAGTCGATGGGTTGACTGATTGCCACCGTGGTACTCTCGACAGCTTCTCAACGGGTGTCGAACGAGTGCCGCTCACTTGCCACTGTCCTCACGCCTGCCTGAGGCTTGGCCCCAGGCTTGCCAGTGCGATGCGACTCGCTTGCCACTGTCAGTAATTGCACTGGCTGGGCCAAGCTCCAAAGCCGAGATGACACAGAGTTGTTGGGCAGTAAACTGCGCCAAACACAGAAAAGATAGATGGAAAATTCGTTAATATTCAAGGGCATCAAGGGCCTTTGCTAAAAATAGAAGAAGATTATGGATCCAGGCCATTAAAAGGGCAGATTGGGGTTCCAGTGGTTCTACAAGCAGCGAGCGAGAGTCGTTTTTTATACATCCAAAAGTAATACTCTGTTATAAATGAGGCTGTCATTACTTATGCTTTTGTATTATCAACAATTTCGATTAGAAAAACTAATTTAACCAACAATTACTGTCTGTGTAGATGTTAGATCTTCATTGTTCTCCCAAAATGAGTAATCACAAAAAGAGTCATTATCTTAATTTTGCTACAGACGAAGTCATTTATTGATGAAAAGATTTTTTGTTGTTGTAAATGATCACTTTAATTTCATTAAAGAGTCATTCATAACCCCCCCCCCCCCAAACATCTCAAACACTTTTATGTCCATTTGAATGATAAAAAAGCTCCTTTAAATCTGAGAATTCAATGATTTCTAATCTAACGCATGTAATGTTTGTATCATTCTTTGTCATCTTAGAACAACCAAAGATTGCCAAAACAGATCTGGTTGTATCACTAAACCAATAATAGTAAATGATACGAATACTTGAATCCAATAATCACTTATGATGGGCCAAAGCCCAAATAAACCACATAATGGAGATACTGTGGGTAGATTTTATTCTGTTCGGCCTACAGTTGTCTTTTTGAGGATGCAGCACAGTATGTATTATGGGAAACTCTATAAGAGCGAGACTACACTGCATATCCAAGTATTGCCAGGGGTCGGCACAAATCCATACACACACACACACACACACACACCCGTGATGCCTTGAGGGCACATCTTCTGTTGGCATGGCAACAGTTGGTGAGCTCAGGTGAGCGGGGAGTCTCACATGTCTCACCCAATCACCTGCCAGGCTTGACAAGGTCCATGGAAATCTGAGACAGAAGTAGTGATGGGCCTATTGTTGAGTGACATGCCTATATTTTTTCCCTCACCTTTCCCCAGGCAAATCAACTTTCCCTCCACTGTTCCACATAAAAAAAAGGCCTCATGACTTTCATGAGCGACTCTATCTCTGTACCTGTCCAGCCAGCGCTGATACAATCCAATGTGATGAAAACTAAATCTCACATCTGTGTGTGTGTGTGAGGCTGCTCAGTCTCTTTGGATTAAAGGGTATCATGGAAATGTGTTATTTCTAAAGGCATACTTAAAGCACCCTGAATGCATCATGCACAGTGTAGTTTAAAGCATTTGAATGGCACACAGTTATGTCCTACATCTATTTGTATCTAATTGTCTGGTCTTTAGTAGTGTTGCCCTTTAACTATTAACAAGTCAGCACATTAAGATCAGGAGGAAATAGCAGCAGCATCTGTTTCGCACGATTGTCAGCTGTATGGTGCCTGCCTGTCTCATCCTACTGTACCCCCACCACCAACCTCCTCCCGTCTCTTAGAATATCTGCAGTATCTTTAACATTATTTATTTATTTGTCTGTCCTGCTCTTTTCATTTGGCCCCTCTGCAGCTACAGTCAGAGTACAGGGTCAGGGTCAGACAGGGAATCAGTGTCCAGTTCACAGACTTTGAGAGTCAACACAGAGAGATGCAAAGCAATGTGAATGCAATACAAAGATAAAACACATTTCACAACTCTTTTCTACAACCATGAAACAAAACACATACAATACTCGATCATTTTTCATCTCAACCCCGGTTAGCGTATAAACGGTTGACGCCCACTTTTTTGTAACAATGCAGCAAATTATGAACACATTCAACCTAATTTGTAGACTATTGTTTTAAAACACAGTCTCAAATCGCTTCCGTCTCTTAACATTTCACAGTAATTTCAAAAGCAATATCTATTGTTCTCAAAAGATTCCTGCTCTTTGAGAACAACACTGTGGATTCAAGAAAAATGTCTTCATAGCCTCATTTAACCATCTCATGCTCAAAGAAATCCAAAATGCAACATCCCTTAATCTCTCCCTCTCGTTGTGAAAAAACACCTCTTCAATTCTTATATATTTATTTTCGGGACGGGACAAGATCTGTAAGTCACATGACTGATCAGTGAACTGTATATAAGGAACCCCAAAACAACCTCAGACACTTCCCTGATGAAGGAATGCCACGTAGCTGAAAAGGTTTGGTGAGTATAGCCTCTGACAGAATGCAGTGGGGGAAAAACACCAGCATCCATGAACACTTTTCTTTTGAAATTGGGTAAAACCATTCAGTGACAAGCCACTACATTACTTGGAAGTTTATGCTTACAAAGTTTCCCCTTCCACTGCTGGAGTTCCTACATTGCAGCAACACAGGTTCTTTTTTGTCATGACCTGTGATTGCATCTTTTCTTTCTGTGGCTTTATTCCCTCACACGATCCCTAAATGATGCTTGGATGATCTAGAGTGACTAT